GACAGAATCTTTATTTCATACAATTTTTTCGGAAGTTGCAATAGATAGAAGTATAACGATAAAGAAAGAAATTTTCTAATTGCCCAAACTATCTGCTAAGCTAAAGTTGTGTATATTTTTAAATTTAATTGATAAAGGATATAATTTACAGTCAAACCTTGTTGCAGGGGATGAACGGAACACATAAGAAAATTGTAGTAATTTATGGATCATGTATTTTCAATTATTTAAGGTAGAGTTTGTGTATTATATATGACAAAATGAGTCAACCTTTGAAACAAAGCATGATTTAAAAAATTCAATGCCTTTTAATTGATGAATGACGGTCGATCTATTCCAGATCCCCCTTTACAAAAAGGTGCTGGACAATCACCAATCTCTAATGAAGTGTTCAAACACCTAATCCAGATACCATAGAAATTCTGGTTTTATCCACGTCTCACATTCCATCAGCTTGGAAACAGGTCAATGTTCGTCCCTTACCAAAACCCAAAGAATGGAATTATCAACATACACTTGACCTATTACTACAAAATCATCACAAACCAAACTTTCATCTACCATGTTAACTTGCTCCATCCTAAAAGGAAATAATTTTGCTGGCTTACAAGAAAATCATACCAAGAACCAATCTAAATTATAAATGCAATCCCTGAAAATTTAAAAAAAGAAAGTTGGATTCTCTCACAAGACTGAGCAAGGCTTTTGACCTAATAAATAAGAGAAATCTTCACCAGGTTCAAAGAAGTCTGGAACATACATGATGGCGAGAATCATTTTAATAAAATTTGAAGCTTTCGAAAAAACTACTTAATATTAAGCTTTCAAAACCCGAAATTGAAATCGAATCGGAATTAACCTAATTTGAAATCCTAATTCGAATAAAACTCATTCAATCCTTTTGATTTTGATTATTATTAGACAAACTCCTTGTTCCAAGAACATTTGAAGAATTAGAAGTTGTCAAAGAACCTGTTTCATCCAAAAAATCATCATGTAAGGTAAAATTGTTTTATTTCAATAGGTTGATTTGGACATCTATTCGTTAAATGTTATTTGCATCAAATCTGGACTTCCTTTTGTTCCATTATCATTACAATATATACAAGTGGAATCTTATTTTCCAGAATATATTTAATAAAATGCGTCCAAACATTGTCAGGTCTTTCAGCACTCTTAGAATAAAGACTTTGAGAATCAGAATCGCTTGAGATAATTCAAAAGAAACTTGAATCAGGATTTCGATTTCGATTTCCTGAATGATATTCACCGATTATTTCATCGATTATGTGGTATTGATTGACTGAGTACTCAAACATCAGGACCACCATCGATTTCAATTTCGAATTTTGAAAATTTTAATTGGTTGAAATCGAAATCGGAATAAACCTATTTCGCCATCATAATAAATAAATTTTTTGAGCATGTATATATATTAATACTATTTTATCATCCGTGATTCAATCATCCTTCTTATTGCATTTGTTAATACGATGCAAACTGGCAGACTTCAACAAAGC